ATTATCTGAATTGAAAGTAAGGTTGGTAGARCTACTTAGTCTGTTAGCTCCCTGCATAGTTTTTGAGCTCATAAGAAATGTAAACTATAAAGTGATAGCTTCAAAAAAGTGAGGACTTAGCTTTGGTAAGATGAGAGCTTAGCTTTTCGTAGCGTGTTCCCATAGACGACGCCAATTGATGTAATCGTTTTTGGTTACGTACCATTTTTTGTGATGTATAAAATTTGTTGGCTAAGTAACTCGTTGTTTGACCCGGTGGTGACGTGCCTTGGTGATGAGCTACTTGGTGGCGAACTCCCTGGAGGAGAACTGCTAGGTGGCGAACTGCCCGGTGGCGAGCTCCCTGGTGGAGAGCTACTTGGTGACGAATTGCCGGGTGGCGAACTGCCTAGGGGCGGACTGCCTAGTGGCGAACTGCCTGGTGGTGCTCCCTGGTGGCGAACTGCTTGGGGGCGAGCTGCCTGGTGGTCCTCCCTGGTGGCGAACTGCTTGGGGGCGAGCTGCCTGGTGGCGAACTGCCTGGGGGCGAACTGCCTGGTGGCGAACTCCCTGGTGGCGAATTGCATGGGGGCGAACTGCCTGGTGGTGAGCTGCCTGGGGGCGAATTGCCTGGTGGCGAATTGCCTGGTGGCGAATTGCCTGGTGGCGAACTCCCTGGTGGCGAACTGCCTGGTGGCGAACTGCCTGGTGGCGAGCTGCCTGGTGGCGAACTGCCTGGTGGCCAACTGCCTGGTGGCGAACTGCCAGGTGGCGAACTCCCTGGTGGCGAACTGTCTGATGGCGAACTGCCTGATGGCGAACTGCCTGATGGCGAACTGCTTGGTGGCGAGCTGCCTGGTGGCGAACTGCCTAGTGGCGAACTGCCTGGTGGTGAACTCCCTGGTGAAGAACTCCCTGGTGGCGAACTGCCTGGTGGCGAGCTGCCTGGTGACGAACTGTCTGGTGGTGAACTCCCTGGTGGCGAACTGCCTAGTGGACTCGTCACTTGACTTGCTCCTAGGCGGCCTGCAACTTGGAGGATTATGGAGCTCCTTGGTGCAGCGCAACCCGACTACCCTCCGCGTGAGGTGATTTTCTCTCCTTTGTAGGTGGCGGGAACTGAGGGACCTGCGAGAACTGAATCAGAGGACCCGGGGGTATTTTCCCGGCGGGGACTCTCCAATGCCTAAGTTAGCATTCTGATTACAGAGGGCTTGGAGAGAAATGAGAGAGCTAGAGAGCGGGGGTTACCATCCTTTTTCCTTCTCTTTGGCTTTGGGGGTCGGAGTC